TATTTATTAACGACCGAAATTTTTTTTTTTTTTTTTTTTTTACGTGTTAATTTATTCGAAAACTCGTTTTTTTTTATACTCTAACGAATTTTTTTTTTTTTTTTTTTGTAAAAAAATAGAACGAAAAATATTTTATAACGTTATTATTTTATTAACAATTTAAAATAACGTATCGGAATTTTTTATTTGTGAAAACGTACTTCAGGGAATTTATAAAAATAAAAAACCGAAAATAAATAAAAAACTTGGAAAACCCAACAATATTTAAAAAATTTTTAATTATAAGTAGATTTACTTGAAAGGTTACGTCACGTAAGCGAATAAGCCTTTTTATAGTACGGTAATTTTCAAGAACTTTTTAATCGTATGTAGATCAAATCGAAAGGTTATGTCACGTAAGCAAATAAGCCTTTTTATGATACGGTGATTCAAAAACAAAAAGAAATTTGTAATCGTATGTAGATCAAATCAAAAGGTTATGTCACGTAAGCAAATAAGCCTTTTTATAATACGGTGATTTAAAAAAAAGAAATTTGTAAACGTAGACCGATTTGAAAGGTTATATCACGTTAGCGAATAAGCCTTTTTACAATACGGTGATTTTCAACTAAGAAATTTGTAATTTGTGACCGATTCGAAAGGTTATATCACGTTAGCGAATAAGCCTTTTTACAATACGGTGATTTTCAACTAAGAAATTTGTAATCGTAGACCGATTTGAAAGGTTATATCACGTAAGCAAATAAGCCTTTTTATAATACGGTGATTTAAAAAAAAGAAATTTGTAATTTGTGACCGATTCGAAAGGTTATATCACGTTAGCGAATAAGCCTTTTTATAATACGGTGATTTAAAAAAAAGAAAAATTGTTATCCAGATTATTGTAAAGTTTTCCAGTTCGTGACGAATGTGAGGCGTTTTAATTTCTTTTTTTTGGAAAAATTATTTTTTCATTAGTGAAAGTTTTTTCATGATCTTAAAAGGAAACGACAAGTGCGCTTTGAATTCTCCATTGACCGGAAATTAAACGTACAACGAATGCGTAATTTCATGGATTTTTTCCAAGTCATACCATCATTTCAAACCAAAAAAAAAAAAAAAAAAAATTACACGATAAATTTAAGTGGTTAATTACGATCGGAGCGTAATTAAATATTACCCAGTCTGTCCAACCTTAAATTTTTAGTTTATTTTTTTTTTTAAAATCACCGACGGCAAAATAATTTACGACGACTAATATTATTATTATTATTTATAAAACGGAAGTGAAAATTTTTTATTTCATTTTATGGCAACAATGGGGAGGGTGGTATCGGTTGCGACACCACAGTTATGTCAAATCAACAGTTATGCAGGTGACGACGGTTAAAAAAAAAAAAAAAAAAGGCGGTTTGGAAAAAGGGGCCCAGGTCGAAATGAGGGCCTTACCTCGAATCAGCCCCGAAAATTATCGCCACTTTTTTTTACCGCCCAAATCACCAACGCCTTTTTCAACACGTTATTACGATAAGAATATGAATTGTTTCATTGATTGGCGGATATTAAAAAAATTATCGCACCGATTGAAAATTTTCTTATTCATAATAATAAAAATGATGATAATGATGATGATGATGATGATGATGATGATGAAAAAAAGGCGGATCAAGACCGTAACGGTCGCACAAAAAAAAAAAAAAAAGAAAAGAAAAGAAAAAAATTAATTTCGGTCACCTAAAAAAAATTTTTTTTTTGAATTTCGCATAAATCTTTCAATAAGATTAATAAATAATAATAATAATAATAATAATAATAATAATAATAATAATAATAATAAAAAGAAAAGTGTGATGATGATGATGATAAAACCTTTTCGACCTCATTCGACACGATAATCGTGAATCGATATCGATTTTAAATACTTTTAAGGTACAAATTATTATTATTATAACATAGTACAAGCGGCGGTTACATTTCACATAAATAATAATAATAATGATAATAATAATGAAAGAAATTTCCAGCACGCGACCTACTTTTATTTTTTTTTTTTTTTGTTTTTAAAAACTTTAAAATTTTTTTTTTTTTTTTAATAAATCCGATCGGACGTAAATAAATAAAGTGGAATTAGATAAAAATTTATCACCCGATCGAGTCTTTTAATTAAAATGCGGCGGATGCTAAACTCAAAAAAATTTTTGATTGATTGATTGATTGATCGATCGATCGATGGAGACAACTATTACTAGAATATTTAAAACGGTTTAAAATAAAAAAATTTTGAATCACGTGATTTTTCGTCAACAATTTTTTTTTCTTTACTTTCGCGAGAAAATTTTTTATTAAGAAATATTTAAAATTATTATTATTATTATTATTATTATTATTATTTTCACTTATTATTGACGAGAATTATTTTTGTGGAATTGTTTTAAACATTCATTTCCAGGTGTTTACTCTGATCCCTAAGGAATAAATGCCTAAATAGGTTTTTGTCTTTTATAACCTAAACAGCATCACAACAATTCTTGTAAATCTCACTGAAACCATCTTATTTGATGGAAACAAGTTATCTCCTGTACTCCTAGGCTCCAGTCAGTGACTAAAACTAGTTTCATTTTTATTTAGTATGACAGAAGGTATTTAGCTCAACTACCCATAATCAGCCCAAGAGAAGTACAATGACAAAATGGAGTCTGTTGTGTCTTTTCATAATACCTTACACTAAAATCAACTAACATAAAGGCTACCCAATTCCCCCTGACTTTGATTCAGATTTATAGGGAGTATTACACCATCCGTATGATACAGTGTGTTGTAATGAAACAAACTGACTCAAGAAAATGTTTAAAACAACCAACAATCAGTAAATCAACCCTTAAAGGTTAGAGTATAGACATTTGCACACTCAGTTAGCTCATCAAATCAATTATTAATAAATATTATTATTAAATTACCCCAATTCTTTTTTTTTATGATGAGATGAATAAGTTAATTAGTTAAAATACCTCATAATTAACAAAATAAATGTCAAATTGTAAAAAATTTTTTGTTTTTTTGGCCATTTTGATATTCATTTCATTGTCAGCCTAACGTTTTTGCAAGTAAAATACAAGTATGAAAATGTAAAACTTACCCCATAATAATCATATGTACTAAATCATCTTCTAATATTTCTCACTACCAACGCTTCCATTTATCACATGATAAACCGTTCACATTTTGTAAATTTAAACTTGAAATAACATAATTATCACTAAACAATATAAAAAACTAATTATATCACAATAAACTAGACTAAATAACAAAACTTTTGATACATAACTCATAACTAAATTATTAAATAAAACTATTAAATTTAATAAAATAAATCGGAGCGATGTACATGCATGTCAACAGTTGTCACATTAATTTTTATTCTTTTCGTTACAGAATACATCACTAGGAAAAACGTGGAAGAAGAAAATATACATTTGAATTTTCCCTCCTTTTTTTTGTTTTCAATTTTAAACAAGGAATGATATTGTTACATTGTGCCATTCTTACGGCTTGTCTCCTTTTAAAGGGGGTGAGTATTTTTTAATAATAATAATAATTATAATAAAATTTAACGATTTATTTATTTTTTTTTGTATGTTGAACTGAATATTAAAAATTAAAAAAATCGTCGATGAAAAGCAGACGACGTTTTTTGATGCAAATAAACGTATAAGAAGAAGATGACGTGTTAATGACGTTATAATTTAAATTTTAAAAAATTTTTCCCGGATTTTGGGAGAATGAAAAAAAAAAAAAATAATAATAATAAAATCGATTAAATATAAAAAACGCATGCGTTTGTTCGTTTGTCCTCTCGTTTGTCGTGCGAGGAAAGAAAGGGGTACCTGAAAAAAAAAAAAATCGATTCCTTAAAGGCACATCACGTTCTAGTTTTTATTTCGTTTTAAAAAAATTCAAGTTTAGAATTTAACGTTATCAGACAACCAGTCGCGACGTCTCATTTTAAAAAAAACTTCCTATAAAAATTATCATTATCATTATTATTATCATTATTATTTTTACGGCGGCGTTCCGGTTGTCACATTTTTTTTTGTTGTTGTTTGCATCAAATAGGAGGAAACGATTATAAATCGTTAAAAAAAAAAAAAACTTCATTCTTGGCAATTATTTTCTGGAATGCATTCACACAAGGAAGTTAATGGTTGAATTGCTACCGGGGTTCTAGTTACACGATTTTTTTTTTTTTTTCGAAAGAGAGAATTTGGGGCAATGCATTGAGCTCGAAGGTAAACCTCACCTTGACATTGGAATATTTTTTTTTTTTTTTTTAATTAAAGTACAACCGCCGATTGGATTTTAGTCGATTCCGTACTCGTTTTGAAAATTATTATTATTATTAATAAGTTCTCGTTTCGTCTATATTGTCTGTTTCCGGAATAACTAAAAAATAAATTTCTCGAATTTCCGCTTCTCTTTTTTTTTTTTTTTTCAAATTTCATTTCCTATTGGAAAAAAAAACAATTAGAAAAAGTTGGGAAATTTTTTGCCCCCAGATCGTATACACTTTGATATACTTTTTAAACTTCCGGTAAAATTTTGCAAAAAGTGCCCTACACCTACCCCCTCCCCTACTCGACGACAAGAAAAACTCGTTTCTCTCGATTATTACAACCGCAAAATTTCAACATTCGTTATTATTATTATTATTATGAAAATTATTTTTATAAAAAAAAAAAAAAAATCTGGGTCACAAGTTTATTAGTAAAAAAAAAAAAATCTCTCAAACCGGAAACGATTGCGTCGTTACATTTTTTTTTTTTAGTTAATTTTATTCCTATTATTATTATTATCATTTGCTAACGCAAATTCGCGATTTTTTTTCTTTTCTTTTTTCCATCGCGAACCAAAAAATGTAATTTATTGTCTTCTCCCACGTTAATTTCGAATTTTCACCCTACAAACGGTTTTTTAAATTTAAAAAAAAAATAAAACAAATATGGCGGACGATTTAAAAATTTTTTATGTTTGATTTCTTACCGATTTTTTTTTTTACGTACGAATGGATTTTCGAATTTGACCGTTAATTTAAAAACGGGGAAAATTGTCGCAAAACTTTCAACGAAACGGTTATTTTTATAAATCGGTTAAATTTATAACCGGTAAATTAAAATTAAAATCCGTTTATTACCGGCGGCAATAAAATAATATTAATTACACGAGTAAATATTTTTTTTTTTTTTTTACCGGAAGTTAAGTTTTTTGTATCACGCGATAGTTGTTCGATTACAAAAAAAAAAAAAATGTCGACCGTGTAAATTTTTAATTTTTTTTTTTTTTTTTTTTTTTTTAGACGGCAGCTGGAGAAGAAGTTGACGTGGTAGAAACCGTAGCGGGTAATAATCACGTCGAAGGAGGAGGAGGAGGAGGTGGAGGAGGAAATCACGATATTCCGGATGCGAAACAAAGTAACAACGCTCAGGATAGGGAAGATATAGATTTGGGACTGGAAGAAGAATCGTCACGTCCAGAGGATCAAGAAGCGGCGGAATCGGGATCGAAACATAATTACCAACCGCCCCCCAGCAGGGGTCACCCGATCAACTTGCCCAATCGTTCCAATGTCGGTCCGCATCCCAACAAACCCTTTCCGAATCCTCATCACGGTAAACAACCAACAATTTTCGATTCGAATTCGTATCAGGGCCCTCCACCACCTCCTCCACCAATACAATCCTCGGATGCATCGGATAAAGTTTACAAGGTAATAGCGGCTAATCACGGAGGTTTGGGTGGTTTGGGAGGACTCGGAGGAGGTAGAGGTGGAAATCCAAGTGGTGATCCTTGGCCGGCACCGATGCCTGACATGCCAAAAATAGTTTCGTTGGATGTGAAATGTGAAAAAAGCTCGATGAAAGTTTACATAGGATTCGACAAACCTTTTTACGGTATCGTTTTCAGCAAGGGACACTACAGCAACGTGAATTGTGTGTACCTTCCCGCGGGACTCGGTAGAACTTCTGCTAATTTTGACATAAGCATACACGCGTGCGGAACGGCCGGAAATACCGAAAATGGATTGTACGGATATGGAGCCGATTCCGGTTCGGGAACTTATTTCGAAAACATAATTGTCATACAGTACGATCCTCAGGTACAAGAGGTTTGGGATCAAGCAAGAAAACTACGATGCACGTGGCACGATCAATATGAAAAATCCGTTACGTTCAGACCGTTTCCGGTAGATATGTTAGACGTTGTTAGAGCTGATTTTGCCGGTGACAACGTTGGTTGTTGGATGCAAATTCAAGTTGGTAAAGGACCTTGGGCATCGGAAGTATCCGGTTTGGTAAAAATAGGACAAACTATGACCATGGTTTTAGCTATAAAAGACGACGATTCGAAATTCGACATGCTCGTGAGGAATTGCATGGCTCACGATGGTAAACGAGCACCCATACAACTGGTAGATCAAAAAGGATGCGTGACCAGACCGAAACTCATGTCGAGATTTACTAAAATAAAAAATTTCGGTGCGAGTGCATCCGTACTATCCTACGCACACTTTCAAGCTTTTAAATTTCCAGATTCCATGGAAGTTCATTTCCAGTGCACCATACAAATATGTCGGTATCAGTGTCCAGATCAATGTTCCGAACCTCACGGATTATTGAACGCACACGCCGGTCTTTTGGAAGCTCACGCTTCACACGGTGCACCAATAACAGATCAAAATTACGGTTTGGGTCATCCTCATCTACCGATAGATGCTTATCTCGGAGTAGGAGGAGGAGGTGGAGTAGGTAACGGAGTAGGTGGTGGAGCTCACATACGTGACGAAAGACGAGTCGGAAGAAGGTATCGTCGTGAAACATCATCACCGGAAAAAGAAATCGGATTAAATCGTGTCATTAGAGTCGTTTCCACGGGTGATTTAACATTTTCAATTGAAGAAAATTCAAACGTGACGGAAGCACCCACCATAGTCGTACCTGCCGTCAACGACATGCCCGGCCTTATTTGCATGTCGACTCCAGGTTTCGCAGCAACTCTCGTCATATTATTATCGATATTAATAGTATCGTGTTTAATGTCTGCGATACTTTGCGTAAGATTACGACCCTTTTCCGCCATAACCGGTAAAAGTTTATCGTCATTGGTCGAAGCTAAACCTACGTCATTGATTCATATGAAAAAATCAAAATGGAGATTTTGGTCGTAGGACCCAAAGCAAAACAAAACAAAAATTAAATTAAAAAGCTTTAAATCCTTATTATTAAAAAAAAAAAAGAAACTTCGAGAATTTAGACTTTACCCCCCCACCTCCCCCAACCCTTCCATCCTCTCCTCTCTAACCGTTTTTACTGTTTCGACGCCATATTGCTTTTACTTTACTCCTCTCCCAGAGTAAAAGCGAGAGGAAACAGTTTCGGTCGCTTTCAATTCTCCTTCCGGAAAATTTTTTTAATCACAAACTTTTGTTTTTATTACTCTATGACCTCTTTTTTCAATAAAGTCTGATGAAGGTTATTATTATTATTATTAATTCGCGACATCGTTTAATGACAAAAAATAAAAAAAATAAAACGATGACGAAAATTTTTTTAAAAATCAGTTACTTGATGGCACAAGATGATGATGATGATATAACCACGAGAAAAAAAAATACTACTGCCACGACGATGATAAGGGATGTTGCATCTTGCGCTTGAGTACAAATATATATTTAAAATATTATTATTATTATTATTATTATTATTATTATTATTATTATTATTTAACATTCAAAATAAATTGGATGAATGTACAGTACATTACTGGTAATTTTATTTATATTTAGTTTTTTTGTTAACTTTTTAATTAATTAATTATTTATTATTATCATCATTACATATGTAATTAAGTATTATTATAATTATTATTATTATTTGTTATTAAAAAAAAATTAAATGTAAACAACAACAACACCTTAGGTTTGCTCATTAAGTAGTTTGTAGTTATAACAAAAAAATTATTATTATTATTATTATTTTCATACTGCTGCGTCTTATGTATGATGTTGCGAGTTTTTAAATAATTTTTTTTTTGTTTATTTATGTAAAATACATAACTAATTATTCCTTTTTTTTTTTTTTTACAAATACAGGTAAATGTGGATTTATTTCGTCCGCCACTTTAAAAAATTATTTTCAAGCTCGCAAAAATCATTTGGCGGTTTTTTTTTTTTTAAATTTATTTTTTACTTTATTTATTTATTTATTGTTTTATTTATTTATTTATTTGTTTAAATTTTTTTTTCGGACGGTGCCGAACGGTATCGACGTAATTAAATAAAGGCATAAATTATTATTATTATTATTTCATCACCGTCACCCCCATCATCATTATCATTATCATCATCATCATCATCATTATCATCACCACCACCAGCACCACCCCCACCACCATCATCATCACTACCAACATCATCATCACCACCATTATAATTATTTTCGTTAATTATTAATTTATTAAATTTTAATTATTATTATTATTGTGTAATTTATATATTTTTTTAAAATGTTGATTACGTCATCATTACTTATTTATTTATTTATTAAAACGAAGAGTGTGTGAAAAATGATGATATTTTTACCTTTTTTTTATGTATATATAAAAAACAAAACATACACATAAATAAATAAAATTAATTAATTAATAAAAAAATTTTTTCTATATTTTAAATATACCTCTCTCTCTCTCTCTCTCTCTCTTGTTCGAAGTGACCTGAACGCGCACGCGCATGCGCACACTCTAACGTACGTAAATGTCATGAAATTTCTTGTGAAAAGTTTTATAAAAACCGGATTTCCGGATTATAAAGTATTTTTACATCGAATTTAAAATCCCCGTTAAAAAAAGAAAAGTGTCAACATACACTTTTAAATAATAATAATAATAATAATAATTTTTTCATTCGAACACGTGGTGGTGACACGACAAATTTTCTCACGTTGTTTGTTAAAAAAAAAAAAATAAAATAAAAACAACTTACTTCCGGTATACATATCGGTGAATTATTTTGTTAACCCAGGTTAATTTTATTTCGCACTAACTTCCCCATCCGGTAGCAGGGACAGTTCGGGACTGAGACGAAGCCACTACTCGACTGAAACTCCTGGACGTGTTTCATCCTGCTCTTTTCCCGGGAGGAGGAGCGTTTACGGGAATACAACGTCCTTCTGAGCCAGAACTAATAATAATAATAAATAAAATAATAATAATAATATTATATTTAAATTTTAATATTAAATTTAAATTTACATTTTAACACGTTTTTTATAAAATAGTAAATTTATATAATACACTTTCACAATTTTCATTTTTATGTATAATAAATAAAAAAAAAGAAACAAACACAATAAACATTTTGTTATTAATTAATTTAAATTTGTTGTTGTTGAAAACGAACGTGGAAGAAGAAGACATGTATGTGTTTGTTTTTACAAAAACAAAAAAAATTTTATTTTATTTTTTCAATCTCACAAAACAAACATTACAATATATATCAATCATTTATCGTTATTAAACGTCATAAAATCCTTTTAACGGTTTTATTATATAGTACGAATGACGTCATTTCCATAGAGATACTTGTCATAGAGCGCACTCTACATCCCTTTCCGGTATCGACTCATCGCGTTTTCCGGTGTATCAAGTCCTATCGGATATATATACTTTCATAAATCAATAAATTAAAAAATTTTTTTTTTATGACGTGACGTCATCATTACCATTTATTATTATTTATTATTATTATCATTATCGGTAATTATATTTATAATTTAACGATGGGCACGTAGTAGTAGTAAACTCTACGTCACGCCACGCATTTTATCCGATTTATTTTTATTTATTATTAATCAATTTTCTTATTAATTAATTAATTTATTTATTTATTTTTTCTATTGTTAATTATTAATAATTTTTAATTATTATTATTATTATTATTTATTAATTTTTAAAAAAGTTAACAAGATTAAAAAAAAAAAAAATTGAATTATTTATTTAATTATTTTTATTTTTTCGATTAAAAAAAAAAAAAAGCATTTTATTTTCGTACCTGTACTCTAATAATAATAATAATAATAATAATAATAATAATAATAATAATAATAATAATAATAATAATAATACAATAGTAACAGTAATAATAAATTATTTTATCATCATCATCATTATTATTATTATTATCGATATGGAAAACAACATTTCATCGAATTCATTTGTTATTGTCACGTTAAGCGCGTGTGTGTGGTAAACGCGTGGTCGCATTTTTTTTTTTTTTAAATGATAATAATAATACCGATGATGGCGATGATAATAATAATAATAATAATAATAATAATAATAATAATAATAATAATAATGAATCGAATTTACATAAATGCGAGCGAGATTTGCATATAAATTATTTTTAATAATAATAATAAAGAAAATTTCTCTTTTTTTTTGGGAGCTATTCGAAAACGATTAATAAAATTATTTATTTATTTATTATTATTATTATTAATATAATTATTATTTAATTTTCTTTTTTGTGACTCGAGCCGACGAGACGTGAGTGACGTAAGCAAAAAATAAATAAATAATTAATAGAATCGTATAAATAATTATTACGTCATATTATTTTTGATGTATTATTGTTACTATTATTATTATTATTTATTTATTTATTTATTAACAAAAAAAAAGTAGAAAAGTAAACTTTTTAGTAATAATAATGATAATAATAATAATAATAATAATAATTACAATTAGGTTAAAGTATTAAAAATAATTTTTTTTTATTTATTTTGGTAATTAAATAAATAAATAAATAAATAATTTACAAAAAAAATTATGTATTAATGTACATAATAAATAAATAAATAAATAAATAAAAAGCTGTTTTCGGTGACGATTGGTAATAATATTAAAAATTAATTAATAAAAATTCAACAATCAATCCATCAATCAATCAATCGATAATATTATTTTTTTTTTTTAAATTTTGGTTTATAATAATAATAATATGAGCAAATTAAAAAAAAATAGATAATAATGATAATGATAATTATACATATAAATAAATTAATAAATTAATTAAATAAAATTATTTAAAAAAAATTAAAAACGTCTTTTTATTATTATTATTATTATTACTATTATTTTTATTTTTATTTTTTTTTACTAAAATTAATTTACGTGTAAATAGTAGTAACGTTGATTTTTTATTTGTTGCGTGTGTGTGTGGGGGTGCGTGCATGCGTGCGTGCGTGCGTTTCGTAAAAAACAACAACGAGTCGAACAAACAACGACGGGAAATGTTTGTTGTCGGTCACACTTTGTTTGTATACCCGAGACCGAACGCACACGCACACGCACACCGTAGTAGCAGAGCACGTTGTCCGAATAATGGACGAGAAACAAAACCGTTGTCTTACCTCTTTTGTGTTCTTTTTTTTTTTTTATCACTTACATCAAATTCTCGAAACATGTTCACGAACAACAAAAACAACAACAACAACAAACAACAATAACAAATTATTAAAAAAAAAATTTTTTTTTTTTTATTTAAATTGGATGCGTGTATGTGAGCATCAGATAATGTCAACCGTCGTGACTGTGATTCGACGTCGTGGAATTAACCGAATTTTGCGGACATGACGTCGACGATGGTGACGTCGTCGTCGTCGTCGTTTCCTGTACTCTCGGACGAAGCAATCTCATTGGCATCCAATTTGTCCATCCGTTTGAACCGTTGACGACAACGACGTTTCCGTTTCTGCGATGATGATGATGATTCTCCTCCTCTACCACTTCCGTTCTCCTCCTGTGTTGCGCCGCCGTTAATTGTTGTGCTTCTTTTTGCAATTGATAACGATATAAAAGAGAGCCGGCTACTAATGCGGCAACAACCGCCGATACTGCTACCACTACGAAAAGTATGCTGAAACCTATAAAATAACTTATTGTTATTTTTCTGAAATTACCCCCCGTTTTCCCCTCCTTCTCCTCCCTATTTTCATACCTGGCATTGGTAAACAAATCCCGTAAACGACTTCTTCCCTTATCCTACCCCTGAAAACGGTTACGGCTTCCGCTTTAGTATCCGGCGTAAATGCTAAATCGGCTTCCGATATGACTTCGTATATGCCACTAACCCCGACGTCAGCACTTCTCACCTACCCCATAAAAAAAAAATTATCGTAAATCCCAATTTCATTCAATGAATGAATGAATGAATGATTGATTTAAATCTTACCTTTCTGTCAGAAACGACGACGGATCGACGTTTTCTCTTATCTTTTTCCGATAACGATCTCGAATTAAATATCGATGCGGAATCACCATCTAAATTTCTCGGACCGTGTGGAAATCTTTCCTGTTCATCTTTATGACCCGGCCTCGGCATTTCCTATAATGTGTGCATATAGATATCATACCGACCGATGGATCGATAGTCGACACACGCACACGCACACTCACCTGAAATTGCGGTTGAGGCAAAGGATCTCCTCCTTTCATTTCTTCCGAATCTACTTCATCCGATTGTAAATATACGTGCTTGTGTGATTGAGTACCGTGGGACGACGATGATGGATCTCTTGCCAGAGAGCTGAAACCATTATTGCCACCACCACCACCACCTCTATGATGCGGCACCGAATTGGGCCTTTCGTCAAATCCATCATCTTCGTCATCGTCATCATCATCCTCGCCGCCGCCGCCGCCGTCGTCGTCGTACGTCATCACATCATCGTCATTATTATCTTCTCGAACCGGTTTGACGGACGATTGAATTTTTTGTTTTTTTATTGACGGACGCATGGGTGGTGGAACGTTATCCTTTCTTTCGATGGCATCATCATATTGACCACCGCCACCTAAAAATTTATTATTATTATTATATAATCAAACTGCTCAAAACGTTATTCAAATCAAAACATATGTTGGTTGGTACCCGTGGGTAAATGATGATGAAGTAAATGTCCAAAATCCGAACCGAACTGACAGTGGTCCAAACATCCGTGACGGCAAATTTCAACTTTGCATTTTATGTGAACGCTCAAAGCGTCGGGAAATTTAAATGCGTGAAAAAATGCATAAGTTATAACCGATGCTCTGTCGTCTGCTCCTTTCGCTTTTAAAAATCTACTTATCATTTTCGGCCTTAAAACGCATCCGTTTTCATCTGATAGCTGTATGACGTGTCCGGCTCCATCGGATGCTGCGCACGATTTCACTCTCATATCGAATTCACCTGCGAAAGTATTTTTAAAAAATTTCTTTCTTTTTTCCTTCTCTTTTCCCTTCTCTCTCTCTCTCTCTCTCTCTTTTGATATATTAAAAAATTAATAAATAAATTTCTTTTTTTTTTTTTTTTTTTTTTTTAAATAAAAAAAGGGAGTCAGCGAGCGAGGAGGGCCTCAAAAAAAAAATAACAAATGAGTCACTGGGTGTGAGAATTTAAATACCCGTCATTTACCCGAGGCCATTTATTATTACTCGTATTCGACCATATACCTTTTTTTTTTCTTTTACCTCAAGTTCAAAATTCTCTCATTCGAAAATACAAAAAAAAAAAAAAAAACCGTTCGAATAGAAAAAAAAAAAAAAAAAAACTTTCGATTCGATTCGATTACATTCGATACGATATTTTGTTTTTTTTTTAAATAATGGCGGAAAAATTTTCCTCAATCTTTCTCTCTCTTACTCTCTCTCTCTCTCTCTCTCATTCACAAATTTTTTTTTTCTTTTAATTTCACGTTATTATTATTAATATTAATTAATTTCATTAGAAAACAATTTGGAGAAGAAAAAAAATTTAAAAAAAAACTTTTTAATAAAATGATTTATTAATTTGACGCGTTTTCCCAAAAAAAAAAAAAAAAGAGAATGAGAGAGAAAGATAGAGAGAGAGAGAGAGAGAATTTCGAGCCGGTTGTTGTTTTACGTGTTAGGTTTTTTTGTTCGGTTGCCCCCCCAAGTAAAAGTCAAAGTTTTTTCGTGTCAAAAACATCATGATTTACGCGCGTACAAGTTTAAAAAGGTGGAGAATTCATTTCCAGAAAAAAAAAATATATACATGTAAACGCGTGCGTGTGCGTGAGTGCGTGCCTGCGTGTTAGCGCGTGTGAAAAATTTATCGAAAGTTTCAACAAAAAAAAAAAAAACAAAAAAAAGTTTTATTTTTTGTATGTTGGCAACGCGTAAATTTTTTTTTTTTTAATGAATGACACGTAATTTTCTTCTTTTTAAGTTTGCAACACGTAAATATTTTTTTTTAAAAGGATGATACGTAATTTTTTTTTTTTTTAAGTTGGCAAGGCGTAAATTTTTTTTTTTTAAGTTTGCAACACGTAAATTTTTTTTTTTTTAAGTTTGCAACGCGTAAATTTTCTTTTTTTTAAGTTTGCAACACGTAAATATTTTTTTTATAAAGTTTGCAACGCGTAAATTTTTTTTTTTTTAAATGGATGACACGTAAGTTTTTTTTTTAAGTTGGCAACCCATACTTTTTTTTTTAAGTTGGCAACGCGACGTAAAATTTTTTAAGAGAAAAAAATGATTAACGATCGATATATCTCGATATATCGAAATTCGCACATGTGCGAGTGATGCAAAAACTATAAATTATAATCCCGCGAAATTTCATAGAGTAAAAAAATTTAAAGTTTTCGAGAGTGATAAGAATGATAAGAATCCATCCGAATTTTTTTTTTCGTTTCCACTCACGCACACTCGCACCTAATAATAATAATATTCGACGAAAAAATTTAAAAAAAAAAAATTTTCGTAACGATTATGGCGAGGTAGTAATATCGATCGATCGATCCATCGATTAATTATCGCGTGAATTTGTTTTTATTTTTTTTCGGGGAGGGGAGGGGGGAAGGAGCAGCGAATATATCACACACATTCATCTGAAAAAAATTCTAACGGAGATTTTTTCGCCGTCTTTTTTTTTTTTTTTTAAATGGCGAATATATTCGCACACCCTGTCATCAAATTTATTATTATTATCGCGAGTAAGTATTACTTGTTGTTTGTTGTTTGTTGTTGTTGTTGTTATTATTAATAGCGAGAAAAAAAAGAAAAAGGTATCGTTAATGCCACGCCGCGTTTAATAACCACCTTCGGTTATCATTTTTTTCGTAATGGTCAAAAAATTTTTTCTTTTTTTGGATGAAAGGGGGGGCGAGGTGAGGTGACGTGGGGGGTGCTGAAATTTCGAGAATTTTCGATCCGTGTTTTCGAAATTGTGGACGGGGGGAGGGGGGAGGGAGAAATTTACGTAATTGTTTAACCGATCTACAACGATCTTGAAACGTGATTTTCTTTTTTCGTGTGATACTAACCTCGGTAATCGTTGATGGCAACAACTAATGTTAAAGTCGAACCTAAAGGTACGATGCCACTCACTGGAGGAGCCCAAGGTCCTTTACCATGTTGAATTTCCATCCAACAATCGACGTTGTCGCCTGGAAAATTTAAAAAACAAAAAAAACAAAAATTAATAAACTTTTTTTTTTTTCTCGCGCACTAAAAATTATAAATAAAATTAAAAATGTTAATTGAATGACTGAATGACTGACTGATTGAATGATTGACTGACTGAATGACAAACTCTTAGTTTTTAACACGGTAATAAATAAATAAATAATAATAATGATAATAAACGAAAAACGGTTATTTCGAGTTAATTTTATACGTAATTTTCCGCTTGGATTTATTATCAAAAAAAAAAAATCTTTTTATTTTTGTTTGTTGTTGTTTGTTGTTGTTGTTGTTGCTATTATAAAGCAATAAGAGAGAATGGTGGGCCTGCCTAAATTCTCTGGAGAGAGTTCAACTTCTTCTTGGCTAACACTACTGATTTAAAACATTGATTTATTAAACGAGTTGGACCTTTAATTGAGTGTTTGTTGTTGTATTGTACGGTTTTTTTCCAAAAAAAAATAAAAAAACAAACCCGTAATTTTTTTTTTTGTTTCTTCTTCATTTTTTTTTTTTTTTTTAAAAGATTTTCACGTAAAACCGTTAAAATTTGATAAGAAAGTAGAAAAAGAAGGAAAAAAGTGGAAAAAATAAAACGAACGTTAAACGGAAAAATTTGTCAAAATGGCGGCTGCCATGGATGACGTTACGCTCCACATTTCTCCATAAGAATTCGATAAAAACAATTAAATCCGATATTTTCCTCGTTTGTCGTTGTTGTTCATCTTATCACAAAAACAAACACGCCGCGTTAATTATCATTTATTTTTCATCGTAAATAAAAAAAGAAAAAAAGAAAAAAAAGAAATTCTTCAATTTTTTTCACCGTCAACAAAAACGTCAACAAGTTAACAAGATAATTTAAAATTACCTCCTCCTCCTCCTTTTATTATTAATAATAATGATAATGATACAACCGACAAACGGTTGTTTATTAAGTCAAATGAGATAAAATGTGTCCGTTATAAGAGTTAATAAAGAAAAGAAATGAAAAATAACAACAACAAACAACAACAACAACAAACCGATAATGATAAATTGATAATAATAATAAAATTCATTCATTGAATCGTTAACGTGTGTAAAGGATCCACTATTTTAAATTTTAAAAAATCGTGTCATTAGAAAATACATTTTGTCATTATTATTTCATCATGATAATTCCAAAATTTTTTCTGTGTCTCGCAAAATCTCGAATATTCTCGCCCTTTTTAACCGTTCCAAAAAAAAATTTCGTTTGGGTTTAAAAAAAAAAAAAAAAAACTATTTCCGGTTTGTTATTGATTTTAAAAAATTTCCCGCCATTTTTAAATTTTCCGTTTCGTTTAAATTTTTATCAAGCTAATGAATGTGATTTCTCTCTCTCTAAGTTTCTAATATTTCCGGTTTATTTTCCGAATGTTAAAACTCATCGATACCATTTGAGAGAAATATTTTCCCGACTGGAAACGGAAACACCTGTCTGATACTCTTTTATTCCCCCTCCTCTCCCCTCGCAAATAAATTTTTTTCGAATCGAAAAAAATAAATAATGAGAATGATGAGAATGATGATGATGACAATCGAAACGGTATAAAACCGGATACAGTTAATAAATAAATTGTTAATTAATAATAATAATAATAATTATTATTATTATTATTATATGCGGTTTCATTTTTTTTTCTTTATAAAGCCAATGAACCTCATACAATCACACAAAAAAAAAAAAATTATTTTTTGTGTTTGTTGCGGTTTTTTCGGAGAGTGAGAGAGAGTGTCAAGGTTAAAATGATACACACACACACACGATGATGATAATGATGATGATGATGATGATAATGATGATGATGATGATAATGACCTCATTCGGTTTTCATATCGAGGATCGTCAGTCAAATTCATTACAAAAAAAAATTATGAATTGTTTAAACAATTTGAATGAAAATTAAAAAAGACGTGTGCTCGTAAAAAGGTGTTGCGCGATTTAAAAGAAGTGATGATGTTAATGATGATGATGATGATGATTCGTGAGAGCATAACAACAACAACAACAACAACAATCGGTTTGTTTTAATCAAATAAAAAAAAAAAAAACATAAAAAGGAAAAAGAAACCAACGATTGAATTTCACGTTTTTATCTTTTTTGCAACTTTATTTCATCATCATCATCAACATCAGTATAAACATCATCATCATCGCATTCATCCATTGCTATAAAACAAACCGGAAATGGTTTTAAATAATAAAAATTTGAAAAATTTCTCTCGACAACAACAAAAAAAAATTGTTTGCCATTAAAATTATATACATATGTATTTTTTTTTTTGTTTTTTTTTTTTTTTTTTTTGTGTTCGGTTGTTGTTGTTGTTTGTGTTATTGAATGAAACAAGAATTAAAAATGTCAACACATACAAACACGAGTTTTTTTTTTTTTTAAAAAGAATTAACGGTTTTTCTTAATCAAAAAAAAAAAAACGTGACGCGTGACATCAATAAAAAAAAAAAAAACAATATGGACGAACGAAAGCGCGAATCACTTTTTTTTTATAAAGATGATTTTTCAAAGAAAATAAGAGAGAGAAAGAGAGAGAGATAGAAAATAAATCGCGACATCGTCACGACGTTGACGATGATGACGACGACGACGGCAACTAAATAAATAAATAAAATAAAAAAAAAGTTAAATTAATAAAAATAATAAAAATCCAACCGAGTCGCTTCTTGTCGTCGTGTCATTAGACACACGATACCCGAATACGTTTACCTCGTTACACGCGTGTACCCCCGTTGTTTCCGGATTTTATTATTATTATTATTATTATTATTAATTCATGCAAATGTTGTTATGTCTTTTATTATTATTATTATGTTGAATTCGACTTTTTAAATATTTAATTAATAAAACATATTTTTTTATTTTGTTAATAAATAATAATAATAATAATAATAATAATAATCCAATCGTGTTGCAAAACATGTCTTTATTCGACCTATCGAATTTCATAGAGTAACAAAAAAAAAACAAAAAATTAAATTCTATGACGTGTGAGTTGTTTTCGTCAGGCACCATTCGTACGCTTTTTTTTTGGTTTGGTATCATTATTATTATTATTATTATTATTATGATCTTACCTCTGAAATCAAGCTGTATGACGTCAAGATCGGCTATGACCATCGGGGGTTTGGATGCTGTTTTTTCATAATCGTTAAACCACTCGCAACGGAGTCTCTTGGCTTCGTCCCACACTTCTAGCAAGTCTTTGTCGTATTGAACGACCACCGTGTTTTCGTAAAACTGACCGTGAAGATCGGGTTTGGTACCGCATCTCGCGTATGCTATACGAAATGAGAAAAACGTCCTTCCCGCAGAGGGAGTCACGTACACGCACCTCGGGTCACCATATTGACCCTTGGAAAACACTATTCCCTCGAAAGGATGTGTGAATGATAAGTGAACGTCCATGTGATCCTTTCCGCACATGACTTCCAACGATTGGATTTGCGTCATTCCTTCCGGCCTTTCCAACGGCCATATGTCTCCTCCACCGCCACCGCCACCGCTACCGCCAATACCTCCACCACCGCCACCACCACCTCCTCCGGCCGACGCGGAACCGACCTGAAAAAATAAAAAAAAAGTTAAAAAAACTGTTAAAAATGCAGAGTAATTTATACTCTAATTATAAAAAATTTTTTCGCAATTAATTCGTGTCAGGAGGTAAAAGTGAAATAAAACGGAAACCGGTTACACGAAAAAATTTTTTTTACACGTCGTTACGAGCGATTTAAGAACAAACGCAAACCAAGAAACGACGTCGAGAAGAAAATCCGTTGGAATTTTATTTATATATACTTATCAATGAAATATTTAATCTACGTATGACTAAATGCGAGCGAGAGAGAGAGAGAGAGAGAGAAGCTAATGACACGATTAATTTCACGTTTGTACGTTACACTACGATTGTATCAAATTATAACAAACAATTGTTTGTTATATTTAACGGAATTTTTGCGGCAAGAAATTTCCAGAAGGTATCGAAATCAATTTTAATAAAAACCGCAATAATAAATCGTCCGACTTTTTTTTTTCTTTCTTTCTTTCCTTCCTTCGTCGACGTCATCGTCGTCATGACGACGATGACACGCCTGGTGTCACTTTTTCGAATTAAATTTAACGGAAACGTCGAAAACTGGAAAAGTAACAACAATAGAAGGAAAAAAATAAAAATCATTTGATCGGCTATTTGTTTGTTTGTTTGTTTGAACATTAATAAACTTTTCCATTTTTTATTCTTCTTTTGTTTTGTTTTAAACGAAACCGGAAATAGATGATGGAAGGAAAAGCAAAAAAAAAAAAAAGTTTATTTATTGGCATAAGGTGCGTCGCAATTTTTTTTTCTTTTTTTCAAAACTACGGGGCACACCTTTTATTTGTGGCAAAAAAAAAAAAAAAAAAATTTCCACGCCTCGTCGGGGAGCGTTTTAAAATCCGGATTGTTTTTATTATTATTATTATTATTATGAAAATTAAATGGCGGAAGTTTATTACGTAGTTTATTGTATTTAACAAACGCGTAGTTTTTTTTTTTTTTTTCCATTGATTTTAATCGTCGAGTTTGTTATTTGTCGATTTATGGTAAATTATTTATTTTATTGTTAACGGAGCCGCCATTTCGTTTTTTTTTTTTTTTAACGAACTTTTTCAGGTTGATTTTTAACGTTCGTGTTTTAAATTTTCCTCGATGAAAACGAACGAATTAAAGAGTAAAGAATTTTAACGGATTTCGTTCGAATTCTCGTGAAAAAAATAAAAATAAAAAAAAATATTTATATAAACAATCGATCGTTAAAAATCGAATCGATATATCGATCGACGATCGATTTATCTATCAATCATTCATTATTTCTCTTAGAGGCGTTTCGACGAAACCCGGAACCTATTTAGTTTTACCTATTTGGTTCAGAAAAACTTTCTCTCTCTTTTTATCTTCCGTTTGTTCTTTTCTCTCTCTCTCTTTTTACCTTCCATTCGTTCTTTTCTCTCTCTCTCTTTATCTACCATTCGTTCTCTTCTCTCTCTCTTATTTTATTTCATTCTTTCCATCTTTCTTTTTCTTTTTTTTTAATATCATTTGTTTCTTCTTTCTTTCTTTCTTTCTCCCCCTCTCTCTCTCTCTCTCTCTCTCTCTCTTTCTCTTTCTCTCTCTCTCTCTCTCTCTCTCTCTCTCTCTCTCACTCTTCATTATTTAACCATTAAAAGAAAAAAAATGTGGTTTTTTATTTTTCCCCGTCACGAAAACTGGAACGACGGACCCAGAGTTGAATCCTTTCGTGTGGTTTTCATTCCATTCGAATCCAATGGAATGCAAATCGTTGATGAAATTCGTTCCATTTTCAATATAATTGACTTATTATTATTATTATTTCCTTTATTAACTCAAATAATAATAATAACAAACAACAACAAATCATTATCTCTCTCTCGCTCTCGTTGTTTTTTTCGATAGATATTTTTTTTTATCTAAGAAATTTCGTGAAGATGGTATTAAAAAAATAAATTCGTTTAATTATGCGTGCGGGTGTGCGCGTGCGCGTGTGGTTTTTCCGTTTCCGTTTCCGTTATTATTGGCAAAAAAAATTATAATTAACGTCGTCGACGACGACGACGACGACGGGATGACTTTTTACAAACGCACCGCGTTCTTGTTATTGCCATACGAAACTAATAAATAAATAATTTTATTACTCTCGTAATTTTTATTACATATTTTTTTTTTTTATTATTGGATCACGTGACAACACAAACAAACGAACAAACATACGATTCATATAAATTAACATAAATTATTAATTAAAAAAAATATTCTACTTATTTATTTATTTATTTACTTTTTAAAAAAAAAAAATCATTTTACCATTATTATTATTATTGCGAGTAATTTTACAAAATGGCGTCGCGTCTAAACCGGAAACGAAACGAAACACAAAAATAAATTTTAAAATTTTTTTACCGCCATTTTTTTTCCGTTTTGAACGGTGACGCGTCAATTTTGTTTTTTATTTTCCTCGTTTTATTTTTTTTTTGCACATGGTTTCCGCCACGTTTATTACATTACTCTAATCCCACGAAATAATAATAATAATGATAATAATAATAACTTTTTTTATTAATTTTACGGTTGATGAAATTTAATTATTATTTTACGGTTTTTTTTTTTTTTTTTATTTACAATTTTTGATGAGTTCGATAAAGAAAAAAAAAAAAAAAAATTTTTTTTTTTTTCGTTACACAAATAATGCGTTACCCCCGATTAGCCGTTAAAAAAAAAAAAAAAAAAAAATTATTTTACCGTTTTCTCTTTTTTTTTTCTAACGCCACGATATCGTGATCAAATTATTATTATTATTATTATTATTATTGATACACGTTAATACTACGAAATACTAATTTTGTAAATAAACAAAAAAAATATTAAAAAATAAAAATTTATTGTTATTAAAAATTTAAAAAAAAAAAAAAAAACTTCGTGAGATTTTTGACTATTATTATTATTATTATTATTATTTAAAAAGTAAAATTTTAAATCCTTAATTCGTCACTGTTTATTATTTAATCATTATTATTCGTATTATTTATAAGATACACATTTGATAAAGGAATGATTGATTGATTGATTGACAATTTTTTTTCTAATTTAAATTTTTAAAATCAATAATCGTTAATTTTTTTTTTTGTTACATATTATCATCATCATCATCGTCGTCTTCATCATCATCATCATCATTATTATCATTATTATTTAAATTTAATTAAAAAAAACAAGAATCGCAAAAGCAGGGCAGGTAAATTTTTTAAATATTTTTTTATTCCAGGTATTTATTCGCAGTCGTGTCCGAAAACTTTTTATTTTTATTTTTGATCTCTAACAAACAACAACAACAACAACCAAACACGAAAAAAAAAATATTGATAATAATAATAATAATAATAATAAATGTTTTCAGGTGTAAGAAAACGATCATCATCATCATCTCACTTTCTTTCAAAAAGCAGCTAACAATAATAATAATAATAATTACTATTTTTTTTTTACTAACACATACGTTCGTTCGTTCGTTTGTTTGTTTGTTTGTTTGTTCATACGCACTCTCATGTCGAATTATATTATATTTATTTCTGCAACCATTTTTATTTTTTTTTTTATTTTTTTAATTTGCAAATCATTTTTTTTTCTCCGTTACGAAAAAAAAGAAAAAAAAATTTTTTTTCCCCTTGTAATTTATTAAATTGTTCATCTACTCTAAAAATACTATTTCCCCTCCTCCCCTCCCCTCTTCCCCCCGTTTTAATTTACTTTTTCCTTTTTTTTTCTACCGGCTATTAATTTAATCATTGTAATTTAAAACGCGAAATAAAAAAAAATTAATATAAAATCATTCGTATACTTATTTCAAACGTTTTCATTATCATCATCATCATCATCATCATCAACATTACAATCATCATCATCATCATTATCATCCTCAACAATAAAATCATCACCATCATCATCATCATCATCAACAACAATCATTATCATCAAATTTAAAAATCGTTAAAGGTAAGAAAAACAACCGGAAATTCTTTTTTTTTCCTGTGAGTGAGTGTGACGTCATCAATGAGACGTCTCGATGAGATATTAATAATAATAATAATAATAATAACGTTTCCATGAAATCCGAAACGATAACAAAAAAAAAATTAAGATGTTACACAACGTCATCATCACTACAACTGCCACTACTACTATTTATGGAAGTTTGTAAAAAAAAAAATAATAATAATAATAATTTGATACGTACAAGAACGACACGACGACCATTATTATTATTATTAATAATAAAACAAGCAGAAGAAAATGTAACAACACGTCATCGCCAAGATTGTGTGGCGTTGATTACAAGTTTTTGTTAGAAAAATTTAAAAACGTCAAACTCATCATCATCATCATCATCATCATCATCAACATCGTTTCTCGTTAGTATTTTAAAAATGACAAACAGACAAACAAACAAACAAACCGACCGACGGACGTAATATCCAGTCAACAAGTTTTCAAACGGATACGACAAACAACAAACGAAAAAAAAAAAAAATGAAAGAAAACGTCTTAATTAGACTTTTCCTTTTTACCGTCCTGCCCTGAATGCAACGATGGACCGCCATGTTTGTTTTCTTTCTTTTTTTCGTACGCTTTACGTAATGTCGTGGCAGAAGAAACTTAGCATAAACGACGATTCCAACGAAGTAAACATAAGGAAAACTTTAACCCTCCAATCAATTTGTCTTTAAATACGCTCACGCACGCACGTAAGAGATGATTCTTTTTTTTTTTTTTTTTTTTAAAAATGGTTTCTTTAATAGATAATTAAAATTAAGGAGAAGAAGAAAAAGAAATAAGGTACACGATTAAACGAGACAAAATAATTTTTATCCACCACGATAGTAGTAAATACCGTGTGATTAAT